CGCTTACTGCGATTATCAAGCGTTTCCGTTTCCGAATCCGGTTTTCCAGCCTCTCTGCTCGTTTTGTGGCTTACGGCTATGCTCTAAAAATTACATGCCTTTGTTTTTTATCTAATGCTGTGCCGCATTTTCGGGTCTTAAGGGTCGTGTCCTCGACGTGTGTATGTGTGTGCGTGTGTACGTGTGTGAAACGTGCGACTACTTGTGTGCCTGCTAGACATTTTTCACATTTACACCCAACAATTGGGACTCACACAAGAGCTGGAACAGCTTTGCCCTACTCCGGCCATTGTCTCCCTTCCCCTTCTACATCTCTGGCTTTGGCTCTGCTCTAGTCCTGTTTCTCTTTTCGGGCTGCTGTGCTGAGCGTGTGTAATTCGATCTATTATCAGTTGTCATCGTCCTGAAATTCACACATTCACATAGGCATTGTCTTTTTGCTTGATTTGTGCCAACAGGAGCAATAAGGAAATCTGGCACAGTGGCTTGAGCTATAATGAAAAGGAAGCATCATTAAATATCATTGTTACTTCATTTTATTTTGTTTTAGACTATTCTGCGATACGAGATAGGTTAGTTGGTTGTGGCTGGCCGACCTTGCTTCCGTCCAAGTTTGTGCTTCCAATTTTAAACATTTATAAGCTGTACTATTAAGACCTCCACGTATAAAGGTATATTTTACATAGATATGTGTTAAATATGTTTCAAGTAAATCGAATATAGAACCAAAAGATAGAAAGGCGGAGCTATGTCGTACCTGGGGTGGATGAGATGATTTTTGCGAATAATGTGTAATACGTGTTAAATCAATTAACACAAACGTTTTTCCTCGTATTGTATTTAACGAAATTTACATAAGTATCCTTGGAAATGAATTTAAGCCTGAAATTTACCCGCCAAATCCTTGACCCCCATTTCCAGCAACGAGAGATGGATTTTACTAAATGTATGATATACGGCGCACACGAATTTTCTCAAGGATCTTTGCCAATGAGCTTATACCTGTGAGTTTCGCCCACTCATTTATTATCCACGAAGGTTGGTTTTGCGAAAAGTATGAAACTTTAATCAGATGAATTTTCACAGTGATCTTTGGATATAATGTTCAAGACGATCGAATGGTAATCAAAAACGTCTATTCAACAGTATTTCACCTTTTTTTCCTCAGATAGGGGTGGAATTTCTTTCTTTCTCGTCTTAGCGGTACTTCCATGACATAAGGTACCTACAGCTTACAATTTCAGTGTTCTCCCTCTGACGGTTTGGGCTGTGCGTTGACCACCAATTAGTCAGTCGCTCAGTAAGTCAGAACAGACAGTTTTATATATAGAGATATTGATTTAATATCATCTTATCTTTTAATTCTATTTTTAAATATCGTTAAATTAAAAGTAATTGAAGCTTTTTATTTCTATGTATTCTTTAAAATATTTGTGCCCTCAGTCCCACTGTGCTCTTACGTAACCCCTGCTTAACACCCCAAATTGTGCCTAACGCATTGTTTCACGTGCCATTTGACAGCAGCAATTTGAACTTTTTCAAGCACAAATACCGAAAGACAAACGAATACAGTCGAAAATACAAATACAAATGCAGAACACAAGTGCAAACGAGTTGAATGTGGAAATGGAAATGGTAGCAGCAGTAGAGCCTGAAGAGATGATAACGGAAACGGAGCCGAAGCTGAAGCTAGAGCTAGGGTTGGTGCTGGAGTTGCCGCTGAAGTTGAAGCTGGAGTCGATGCGTGCCTAAGTGTTGCATTTACATGCGAAGTAATACAATTTGTGGCCTATGTCCTTCGGCCCCCGAGGGCGACAACTGCGCTGAGGCGTGAATTGGATAATTTATACCATACGCACATATGAGCATTGGGGCAGCATGTGCTGCACAAATCCAATGAAGTAGTTGGACAGCATTGCCCCCAAAAATGTTGCATAGCCCTTGTTGAACGAGGTGGGTGGGGGATGAGCTTGTGCGGCATATTAAGCAAAAATTAGCAACAGTTGCGTGCCAGCGCGAGCCGTAGTCGAATATGTCAAGTTAATTTAATGTAGCGTGAACTGGATGGGTGAGTGTGCGAGTGTGTGTGATGGGTGTGATCGAGTGCCAGCTGCGGCGCCTAGACAACAGCTCAGACATATGTTACGCCTAGGCGATGCTACGTGCAATAATTTGCGCAATTACTTGGTACAAATTTGTTGTGGGAGTCGCGCCTGCCCGCCCCATGCGGCCGACCAAAAAAATTATTTGGCCATGCTTCCGGCACTCTATGCCCTGGCCGGAGTACGTGCGCGCACATGTTAAATTCAAATAAATTATGCCTCAAGGCATTTTACAATTCTATTGCCAGCTTTTAGGCGCAATATTGTGAATTGTGCAGAAATGCGAACGAAAGTTTTTATATCCTGTACCCATGAAATGGTTAAAAAACGGGCTATAAGTTGTGCAATTGTGTGTTAACAGACAGACATTCAAATGAACATTTATTTATTTTCAGTTTGAATAGATGAATCGATTTATATATATACGAATGTCTTTTGGGAATTCGCATATAGTTTATTTCGTAGGGCTTACATAGGATGTTTGCAAACTAATTCTTTGCTCATTAATCGTGGAACTCGAAGATTTCAAGAGCTTGCGGCAGAAAAACTGAAGTATATATTATTATTGTCATTTTATAAGTAGTCATTAGAAATATATGTCTGATTATGCCTGATCAGGGAGGACCTCGAATATCCTGCGTATACTAAATTAGTTTGATTTATTCTTCAAGCATCGCAGACAAAAACGGGCGAATCTATCCCAACGCTTTCATTGTTTGTTCTGGCAGAATTTAAAATGCCACAGGCAAACTAATACAGCACTGGGTATCTTCTCGTCGAGCACACTGGCCCCAAGCAAGATTTTTTGTGTTTTTTTTTGTCAGCTTCACAAATTATGCATTTAGCTGAAAAATGTTGGTAGGAGAGGCAAACGAACATGTGGCATGTGAACAACTACGTGAGAGGCGTGCCAAAAACAGTTGCCAATGGCCTGAAAAAATATTGAAATATTTACTTGCGTCTCTTGCAGACTGTCAGACTTGCAGCACATTTTGAAAAAAAAACAGCCACTTGAACGGCGAGTGCTTAAGTTTTTGGGTTTTTTGGGCTTTTATTTTACCAGCTTTTCCTTATGTATTTTTTAAGCTAGCTCATAAAAATGTCAAATCATTTACATACACGTCAGCTTTGCGACAACTGCTTGACAGACATTAATACGCTTAAGCTGCCTGGTAAAGGACACGGCATTATCCCTTATCCTTCAAGCAAACAACGGCGACAACTTAACTGACATAATACAATAAGGCAACAGCCAGGACCTCTTCGCTGCTTGGCTGCTGCATGCATAAAAATCAGATGGCAGCACCAAAATGCCGTTAGACAGCACCACCAGCACAACGACCACCGCCGCGCCCGCTTCCCGCCCACTGCACCACCCCCACACATGAACCACTCACATGTCAAGTAAGTCGCGTTGCGTTCGTTTTTTTTATTATTTTTGTTGTTGTTGTTGTGCGCGCTGTTAACAAATTGCTTTTGTGCAAATTTTGTCACTATGAAAAAACACAGCAAATTCACACACACACACACACACACACTACTGCACAGACACTTACCCACACACATAACCTTCTGTGTAAGCAGCTCAGGAATTTGCATTGCATACTTCTCGGCGGGCTGGTTTAACTTCATTAGCGTATTTTCCTTTGGCTTAGATTGGCCTGGGGCCAGTCTGCATATTGGTCTTTCTGGTTTGGCCTTTTCCATGCAATTTTTCTCAAGATGGATTATTATTTTGGCAATTGCTTGACCGGATAATCAGAGCATGTTCTTAGATTTTGATTTACATACACGCTCGCACAGTGGTCAAAGATATAAGACACTAAACAAACGAATCGAGCAGCTTTCAATTTGATAGATTAACTGAAAGGAGAGGCATTTAAATTTAAATTTTAAAAATGAAATCTGAGGAAAGTATAGCTGCTGCAGCTTAAATGCCTTTTAGCATACTTTTAGGTGCCTATGAATATTGAGTCCGTGTTCTTTATGCGAGTGCACAACCCTGGTCAGGAAAGTTGACCATGTTCAAATAAAAATAATTAGATAAGATATTTGTGTTTATAAATGTTTGAAGAAGGCATTACAAAAATAAAACGAATATTTCTTACAATAAATAAATAATTGTGAAAATTATATTAAATGGGGAATTTGGAAATTCTGTATATCTAGTGATAATAAAAATAAATGTGATAAATATTATATGCCCATTGGATAAAAAGAGATGTTATTGATTTTGTAGAATTCAAAATATGGTCCATGAAATCGAGTCAATGATCAATCGACTTAAAATTAATTAAACAAAAATTTGTATAATTTCCCTTATTTCTGGCCTAGTCGAGATTCAAATACAATTCAAGTTGCATCAGAAAAGGCACGAAACCCAACTAGAGTTGAAAGATATATCTTTGCCAGTGTAGATACTTGCTGAAAACATTACCTTTTGTTGCGTTTACTCCTTTTGGCATACTCGAAGTCGTGACCATGGTTCATTAGTCGCTCCACGAGAGATCAGCCTTCCATGACAGGTTTCCTTGGTGCGCTGCAGCAGTCTGTCATAAATTCTAAACAAATAGATTTGTCATCAAATTTTGGTGGCCACTGTAAGAGAACGTTGCAAGCAAGGATGGCCCAAGGAGCCAGCTCCTTTTTGTGAATATATATGTGTGTGTGTGAGTGAGTGTGTGTGGCAAAAAAGATGAAAAGCTATTTACATTTTGCATTTGCCTGGCGCTCGAGCTGGGCAAGGACAAAACAGCGGCACTGCAAAGGCAATTTATCATAAATATTTGTCAACTGCAGCAAACTTATTTTACGCTCGGCCAGGCAGGAGGCGGCCGGAAGTGGTCGGATGTTGTCCGGATGTGGCAGCTGCATGTGACCAGCAGAGTGGCAACTACGTACGTGTACAAATAACTTAGCTTTATTCTATAGCCTAGCAACTAAATAGTATAGCATATAATTAGCGCTACAAGTACTGCCATATCAGCCAGATGGCCAGCACCACACCCAGCACCAGATCCATGGGCAGGCTGAAGGTGTCGCGTTTCGATTGCTCGTGTCGCGCTATCTCGATGATCTTGTGGGTGGCGAGCAGCCACTGCTTGACTACAGACGCCTCGGAGGCCACAAAGGAGTACTCCTCACGCTTGGTCTTGTCCCTATCCTGCTGCTTGACCAGCAGATTGATGATTTTATTGGCATTCGACGTAGCCAGCTCCAGCGGACGCTGCAGCTCCACATGCTCCCAACTGTAGTGCTGGCGATAGGCCAAACGCCGTTTGCGCACCTCCGTGCAGACCAGACAGCGATCGAATAGGAATATCTTGGCGCGGTATCTCTTTTTGGTTGGAAGATGCTGTGCATCGAATTCTGTGGAGCGTCGAAAGTGACCCTGTTGCTGCAGATCGAGCTGAAATTGGCAGTTGGAGTTTCTTTAGTTTACTGATGATCCACGGCTATTCATAGTACTCACCTCGTTTAGCTCATCTATGTTGGGAATCTCCTCTGCCTGATTGACCACATCCAGCTGCCGTCGCATGCGAGTTTCCAGCTTGCAGACAGCACTCAGCACGGGCTTACAGCTAATGCCGCTCTTATAGAATTCCTATGTATAATAGCACACCATATATATGGTTCGGTCTATATATGTACTATATATCTACTTACCGATATGAATTGCTGTAGCAGCAACGGATATCTGGTCAGTCTTTGTATGGGCTGCACTAGAAAACTATCAATGCCCAGTTTGTCTTTTATTGTCGTCTGATAGCTCTATAAATAATACATATTCCTCATATATAATTGTTTTGTTTTATTTCATTTTATTCTCGCTCACCTGCAGCCATTCTCGATTCTCTTGCCGTAGCTGCATGGAGGACTTTTTGCCTATGGTAAAGTCCACATAACAATAGAAATTGTTTTTCTGTAAATAATCAAAGTAAAATTTAAAAAGCTATAAGCATTCGTATTCAAAGTGCTCGGCGCAATATGTATTAAAATATTATATCTTATACTAATATGACTTTAGATAAAATCTGAAAAAAAAAATTTTGACACACATGTTTAAAATTAATTTAACAATTTTGCAAGCTTTTTGTCAAGCAAATGAAAGCGAAATAAATGAGCACACTATGTTACAGAGCATGTTCGACTATAAGATACTATGTTTGATTGATTGAAATAAACAATTTTAGAATATAATATTAAATACATATAAGAGAAACTTTTTATAATTGTTCAAATTAATTTTGTATAATCACATTGTTTATGGGATATATCAGTCAAGATAATCAAAACACGTAAAAGTTAATAATAATATATATGTAACTTTTGACCCTTTTTAAAAACAGTTTTAACTTTCAAATTTATTTTCAAATCGTAAATTAAATCAAGTTAATTTTAGAGTATAAATATGTGATAGCACTTTTTTGTTCATAATTTAAATATTCGACGCAGAAAAAAGTTGTATTTTTGCCCATGCTCTATATTTTTCTCTCTGCAGGGTATCCGTACATTCGAAATGAACAATTTTCATAGCAATTCAGTCACAATGCAAATGACTCAGTAGCAAAAAATGTGTATATTTTAAATTCATATAGAAAATACCCTGTGCATAGATTTATAGTTTATTCTAGAAGTTCACAAATTTGTACTGTTGTCTTAGCTGCCCGTGCGACACGTACGACAATTGTTTAATGCAATAATTGAAGACATTTGACATGCAAATGCTGCCAACAGCCAGGAGCCAACATTTTGAGACGTATCAACGAATCAACAGCTGGAGGCAAATGCAAATATTGCCACAGCCCCAGCGAATTAAGCCAACTAATCTGTGGCATGTCAGCAAATCGTATAATTATTATTCCATTTGATTATGGGTTTTGATTTGCCGGAGGGTGGTGTGGTGTGCTATGAGGAGGGGGACAAAGCTTAACAGTCAGCTCGACGGATAATCAAATTAAATGCATCAAAAACTACAATAAGCTAAATATACATATATTTTGCATTTTGAACCAGTTTAGAGAATTTTCATTGCACCTACCTAGGCGGGTGCGAGAGAGGGAGCACGGAGCCAACGAGTGGAATATCAATTTTTCAGTGGCTTTGCCAAGGCTTACAGTTGGTTTGCAGTGGTTGTTGGTTCCGATTGTGTGTGCGTGTGTGCGGTGTGGCATTACGTGACTTAAATACTCAAAAATTATGATTTCGCCAACAGGCAAGTTTTACTTATATACATTTATATATATATATATATATATATATATATATATGTATATATTTATTTACTATTATATCTACCAATGAATGTGCCAAAAATGAACTGGGTAATGCCCAGACTTGAAAGTGGAGCCATGTGAACTGTATTTGCTGACAAAACAATCCACAGCTTTATTTTTGTGACAGTCTAAGTAATTGTTGGGTTAGGTAAGGTTAACACGGGTTGGCTCCAAGAACTTTTCATGGACGCAACATTTGAAATTGCTTAAGCCACCTTGAATTGGGCGCAGCTATGAATTAAATATGTAAATCCGAGAGCTTAGATCAGGTAGTTGACACTTTATATTTATTTGCAACTTAGAAAGGAAATGGGTAAATCTTCGTTAAATTGTGCATATTTAATATTAAATGAATTGAATAAGAAGAAACAGATTACTAAATAATAATTATTTTAATATACAGAGGCATAATTATTACCCTGGACAGCCATACCAAATTAAAATCTAGTTCTTAACCAAAATATAAAAATAAAATTATACTCAAAACAACATCAAGAAAGTAAAGCTATTTGAAGATTAAATGACCCTGTAGACATTTCCCTTTTGCAAAAAAGTGAGAATAGTGAATACTCGTAAGTGCTGAATTTGAGGAAAATATTTTTGAAAACTGACTTTTTTGCCAAATAAGAACCTATTTTGGTCTAGATATCTTGATAAACAAGAAAGTTTTGCATTCATGAATCTACTTTTCGACCGATCACTCCTACGGACATGGCTACATTAACTCGGCTGTTGATGCTGATCCAGAATATATACTTTATGGGGTCCGAGCTGTAGCCTTCTATGCATTACACAATTTATGACAAAATTATAATACCCTCTGCAAGGGTATAAGGGGTACAAGTTCCCCAAAAACTTGGGATTTGACCATGCAATGTCACGTTAACTATATGATTTACTATTTAGAACAGGGGCATAAATCATCATAAGCTATCAAAACCTTAAATCAGTGAAATTCAGAATGAAACTTGAATGTGTCTTCCCAAGGCGATTAGAAACAGCAAAGCCCAATTATTCCAATGACAGCTATATGATATAGTGATATGATCTGGATGGTTCCGACAAAAGTAAAATCTAAAACAGTTGTAGAATGTTTCATCAACGTCTAAAATAACAGATAGACAAAAGAATATACGACTATAATTGACGAGGAAATGCCTCATTAAAATAATACATATTGCGTAGGAAATCGATATAATATTGTTGTTATCATTGGATTCTTCGTGAAAAATTTAGTTCCACAAGCAACTTTTTACAAAATTAAAGATCTCAATTTCAACTGAAATCTACAAGTTTGTCACCATTTGAAGGCAATTTATAAATTATATAGACAAGCTTTTTATGGCTGCTTTCGATGTGTGCTTTTTCTGAGATTTATGCCCAAAAATCGATTGAACAAGTTTTGTACACGAGAAAACCAACAACAACTGGTTGAATAGCAAAAATAAAATTAAACCAATAAAAAAAATAAATGGAAACAAATCATAAATTATTGTGAGTCTAAGTGAAATCAATGTTTTTAAACGATTGAAATGAGAAAACTAATCGGCTGGGCAATTATCTTTGAAAAGCCTCATTAATCCGTTCGACAAAATGCTGAAAGGAAATACATATCAGCCATCTATTTAGATATTTTGTTTATACAGCGCGTTGCCAAAACATGGCAAGAAAAATATGGTATATATATATATAAACAAATTGCAAACTTTTATGATGGATATTTTTCCTAATTCTTTTACTCTCTTTAAATATTTTGCGATTCTGTGATTCAGCTTGTCTGAGAAGAGAACGTGAGAAAAAAAAAATGCATAAATCAGTTAGCATGTTTGTCGCGCATTAAGCCAAATCCCCGAAGGCTTAAGCGAGCAAAATAAAAAAAAAAAGGATACAAATTCTTTGAAATTGGGGCCTCGGGAATGTTACCTGCTATGCGTATGCTGTCAATATTTGGGCAAACTTTTTGCGTTCTTGGAACCCAACATGACATAAGATCACATATTTGTTCTTATATTTATGCACAGACACATGCACACACATGCACACACATACACACTCGCACGCATAAAAAGCCGTCTCACAATTTCAATTTAAATTGATTGTTTGGCTGTCAACACTCGGCGCTGTCTCTGGCCACATGTTGCCGCAATAGAGAAACACTTGCTACACTAACAGATCCCACAAAAGAACAAAAAAACCATTAAAGAGTACTCACATTCTATGGCACACTCTGCTCCAAGGCGACATTATCATTTGTAATAAAAGCGAAAAATTAAGCTATATTCGTGATTTCACAGAAGAAACCAAATCAAGCGAGATATAGATATAAAACCAGACGCACACACACACATATAGATAAAGTTGCTGCAAGCACTGTTCTGAAAGGCCCCAAAACAAGCGTAGACCCCAAATTTGATGACGTCAACTCTACATGAGAAATTCGCTCATAAAGCGATTTCACTTAGTTGGGAGTTTCGTAGTTTCAAATAGACGCCATAATATTTGTTGTAAACATTTCTGTCATTATTTCCAATCTTAGACGCCATAATATTTGTTGTAAACATTTCTGTCATTATTTCCAATCTTATCAAGGGGCTTTACTGGGTCTCGTCATCCTCAGCGGATTTTGTTGCTGCTCCGCTAATTGGTTGAGTCGCAAATAGCCAACATTTTGCTGTTTATCAATTTGTACTTAACATTTCACTGGTATTGTTTGCCTTTTTCAAGTACCCCTCGAGTAGATGAAGTAAGTGGGGTATACCAAGTTAAGCTCTAATTGTAAGAATCACTTTACTTGGATGGAGCTACTTATATACACATGTAGCCTATATATATCTATACATAAATCGAAATACTTGAACAAATTAAATAAATCAATGCATACTTAAGGATTTGCATCAGGGACGTCTACTATACTTCTGCTTCTTTGGTTAATAATGAAAAACAGGGTATACTTAAGTCGAGCCTTGTTTGAGCGTTCGTCAATATACGCTCATGTCATGTAGGCATTAATTGTACGTTATTATCGGGCTTTGTCTAGACAATGATTTCTTATGAGTGAATAATTGCACGAACTCTATGCTGGGCTTGGCCTAAGCCAAGTATCTTGTTGCTGACACCCAAAACCCAACGTATAATTGTTGTAGAACCATTTCCTTGAGAATTCAATCTGTGTTCAAAATAAAGAGCTTTAAACATGCGCAACTCTTGAGCATATTAATGAAGGCCTTAGTCAAAAAAACTTAAAGAATCGTGACACACTTATCAACAGGTGTGAATAAATGTGTTTAAGACAATGAATAACTCATAAATACATAAATACATAAATACGATAAAAATACTTAAGCTAAAAATTAAAAATGTATATTTTATTTTATTTAATTCGGTTTATAATTTATGTGCCGCAGCGACAAGCGTTAAGTTGAGTTGCGCTTAGCATATTTACAAATTATTTTCTTCTCGTATTTATAACCCACTTACAGATGTCGTCGGCTACGTTAATTTGCATTAATTGCTGAACCCAGAAATAACTGGAAGCTGACGCTAAAAATACAGTCCATAAAAATTTGTGCCAGTCAATAAGCTAGCAGAAAACGACATAAAAATGCACGCAAGCATTAAGTAAAATCTTTAAAAACAAAAAGCAAATCTGGCAACACGAAATCTAAAGACGCGAGAACGTCAATCACAAAAACTTTGCAGGTGTCGCACTCGCGTAGGTAAATACTTGGAAGATGAAAAAATTAACTGGGAAGAAGAGGAAACTCTATGATATACGATTTTTTAATGCCCTAACAGATATAGATAAAATATTGTACTCAAAGGCATAAAGTATTATAGTATAATATTTAATATTAAAATATGATAAAATGAAAATATAATATTACTTTTCAAATTAATTGAATATTGATTACAATATTTCTTTTTTATCAATATTGTAATTGAAGTGTAAATAAATTAAATATTATAATATAATTTTGTAATCTTATAAAAAAATTTAAAAAAAATTATTTGTAGCCATTCATTTATTTATTTATTTTTTTAATATTGTGAAAACCTCAACAACTCAAACAATTCGTTTCTCATAATTATTTTGTATTATATTCTCCAAAATTATATCATTTCACACCGTTTTTTTAAATTTATTATTGTTTATTTGACCTTATCTCCGTTATCAAACAACATACTTGGCAATAACCATATACATATACACACCTAAGATAAAAATCTATTCTTGATTTATATGTGCGCTTAGAACAAAGGCAGTATACTCAAAGCAAGCTCCGACTTTCAAAACTCACAGCCCATGAAAGAGTTTGTTGTCTTTGCACTAAGCTACAAATTAGTTAATCAATGGTAATCGGCGACGATTGGAACTCGTTATGTGAGGGTATAAAAACCACAGCTTGAAACAATAGAAAACTGTCCGGCAAATATTTGAAATTGTAATTTGCTTGGGCGGTAAACTGATCGATTGGGGCATCGATCGGCCGCTTTAGAACCGGCCGGACGGCTACTTAATGGAATTGACGGCTTTTATGGGCCGTGGCAACCGGTGTCGACCCACGCAACACGCTACTCACCTCAAAGTGCGTCGCAAACTCATCGAAGAGGCCTTTCAGATCGCGCTGATTGCGCAACATGAGCGGCAGAATCTCTTTGTCGTGCAGCTCCAGAATTTCGGAGATGTTGCCCAGCAGCAGCTGCTGTCGCTGGTCGCCGCGTAGTCCTTCCGGCAGATCCTCGCACTGATGCAGCTGGCCATAGTTGGCGAGGCCCTTCCGCAGATTGTTCACATAGTTGACTTCGGTCTGGATAAGTTCATCGATAATGAAGCTTATCTTCTTTGAGGCATATATTTCCGTTTGATCGCAGGGAAAAAGATTCTCTAGCGAGAGTGTGTCCTCATCCTCGTGGCTATGGCAAAGCAAAGGCAAAGAGAACAAGATTTCGATCAATTAACATGTATCCGAGGATTGCGTGTGGCGAGGCTCCACTGGCGTTGGGGGTGGCATTGGGCGGCATATTACTTACTACTCATCGCTCAAGGTTTCGAAACTGAGGGTGTGTGTGAGGAAACCATTGTGTGTGCTGTATGTTGGTGATGAGTTGGGTGTTGCCGGTGTAGAAATTGTTGTTGCTGCTGCTGTTGTTGCTGCTGCTGCTATTGTTGTTGTTGTGCTTGTGTTGATAGAGTTCAATGAGATGCCACTGTAAGCACAGAACAAAAATGCAAGCAAACAGATGAGAAACACAAAAAAGGGATAACAAATGTGTGGGTGCATGTGCGTGTGTGGGTGTGAGGTGTGTTTGGGTAATACATATAGTAGCTGATAAGAGCTATATGGGCACCAGATCATAAAACTTTACTCAGGCTTACATTTTGAGATTCTTCTGATAATATATATACATACATTAACTTTACAAACATGACCTAGATCTTCCAAATGTAAGGGACTATAGAATTAATATTATATTAAAATATTAATGCATATTATTATCCAGGCAATAGTTTGATATAAAAACACCATTAGATCGAGCAATGTATTTTTTTAATTACACAATCTACGACTCAGCGCATGTTTGCATATCTATAAATAATATTTTATAATTGAATTTTGAATTTAACTGCAAGCTCATTAAGATAGTGTGCTGGCGTGCAGGAAATGTCAATTTACAGATTATTTGTAGCAGAACAAAGATTGCCCAAAAATTATAAAAACTTAGACAAGAAAAACTGCCCCCACATTTAACTATAAGTGTTTTATAAGCCTTTTCGAATTTTCCCAGTCATCACATCCGTTTTGAGCTTATGCAATATTACAATCTATATAGCACATTAAGCCTACAATCTTTATAAGATCCTTATCTCCAGTATCACTTCCTATGCTTAATTTAACAACAACTGAAATGATCAATAAACAGGGCGCAACAGAAATCCAACAACCAAGCCATGTGCATGTTATTATGCAAGGCACGTCTGGGGCTTGCCTAACTACCGAAGCAGTCGTTTCTGTGGAAACCGTGTAAAAATAAAGCTAAGCTCATAAAGTAAACATACGCGAACGACCTTATCTTATCACGTATACGCACCGTTTGACGTTGTAAAATATTCTTAGAGGCAGCCCAAAGGTCAAGCAAAAAACCAATAAGAAATGCACATAAAAACATTTATAATTTGTGGCTGTGACATGCAAAATGATGGACAGCTGTCAGGGAAAGTAATTTAAAAGCATCGAGAACCACAGGAAAAAAACAATTGAAATAAAAAGCACAATCGAGGAAAAATTGCAGAAAAACTGCGAATTATTCGACCCACCTATCGCTATCCAAAATGCTCGCCTGCTTCTCCAACTTGCCGTTCGATGTTTTTCGCGATATGGCGCCATTTTTGGCAGAAGTTGGTGTTGTCGCGTCGACATTACCCGATATCGGGCAATCCGATTCGGTAACTGTGCCAGCGATATCGGTACTTTTCGTATTATCACTGAATATATGTAAATAGACGTTAAGCACCTGCACAAAGGCGATGGCAAGAAATGTTAGCGCGACGGGTATCACATCGAACCAATTGATGGCAAACATTTTGCACTGTTTCACAATTTGTGGCACTAGCAGATATCAAAGCATTTGACAGGCCATTGGTAGCACTTAATAGAATAATATACGCTCAGTTCGATTGCTTCAACCAAGCACAAGATCGGCACATTTTAGGCCGCACGAACCGCTGCGTGGCAAATGCGAAATTCAACTGTCCGAAAGTTTGCCATAAATTCAGTTACTCGCAGTGCGCGCCGAGCTTTCGCAGCGATCGCCATAATTTTATAGCAAAAGTTCATGCGCTCTCCCTCTCTCGCTCTCTATCTGTGTTTCTTGGCAGCACGCGTTAGGTATTTGTTTATAAACAAAATATGAAACTGTAAAAATATTGAAATATCTGCTGGAATCCATAATTTTACACTTTTGCTTTCTGCCTGTTAGTCTAGCCGACAAAAATGAAGAATTTTGATTTTATGCATGTTTTTTATTGATGATCATTTGTGGCGATCAGTGGAATTCGATTAATGATCATAACAGCAATAATGCCTACTGCTGTGCTATAATTTTATATTTTCGTGATTTAAAGTTGTTTGTACCTTGAACTGTTTTTGTAAAACGGCCAAACCAGGTCGAAGTTCGGTGTAGTTCGGGAAAGCAGTGCTTTGGCAGTGCCTTTGTCATGCCTTTTAAGCTACGCAGCTTTAACTAAGCGTTCATTTAAATACTAGCTGAATATGTGCGAGCACATACAAATTTATGGCGATGATCTCACAGAGATCACTCTGTAGCTTCTATATATATATATGTATATATAAATACATGCTTTATTGTTGTCGTCGTCAACATTGCAAATTTCAGAAATGAATTGTTCACAATTTCATTTTATTTATTGTATTTGCAATTGATTTGTTTTTGTGTACGCCCCAAGGAAATGCTGTGCAACAATTGGTGGACAATCGGCAGATACCACGAAATGGCCATAATTACTGCCTGGTCGCGATTGATGAGCTGCATGCCCCGCTGCGAGCAGCAGTCTGCAAACGTTTTGCATAAATTAAAAAAAGACGAAGCAAGGCAACAGCACGCCAGAAATGTTTACATTTTGTTTCTTTTTTCTCAGGGATTGTTTTTATAAGCGCCAATTGTTTATTTTTATACATTTTCAAAGTGATGTCACAAGCTGTTCGAGTGCCAAACAAGTTATTCGCCTTGTTGCTTTTGCTTTTTGTGGCATATTATTAACAATAACTCTGAGGTAGGCAATTTGGCGGGGGCTGCTGCGGGGCCAGACAGACGAGGGGATCGACGGTTTTTCAGAGGCGTGCGACCTATTCATGATAAATTTGATTGTTTTGACGTCTTCGAATCGTCCAACTTGTTGCGGCAGGCATCGATTTTGTAAAGAAAAAATAGATAAAATACTTCACATGTCAATTAGTTTGGCTTTCATGTTTGACATTCGCATTGCTAGTCAAGGTTTTGGGTAAACTCATAAATAACTTGGACCTAATAACAATTTTTCTATGTGCTTAAATGCTCGATTAGCAGTTCTCATTATACGAGCTGTTTGAGCCAAAATAAATAATTTAAATATTTAACTATCAATTAGCAGGCTTTTGAAAATGCATATTCATGGAGTAATTTCCATTTAAACCCCAGCATAGTGTATAACTCGTTTGGAAAATCATGTTGAAGATTTAATTAATAATATAATTACTGTTACTTATATTTTCCAACAATTCCTATTTATGAAACTGCAATAATTAGTTTTTAATTTAGCTATTCTAGTGTATTAAAGCTTGATTTTAATTTTGTCGGCCATTATTAAATATATTATATAGCTGTCATTGCAACTATCAGAAGAATATTAAGTTCCTATTTGGATGTTCGTAATACTTTATCAAAACGATATTAATATCAGACTATCCTTTCGTAGAGCTTTCCCAAATTGCGCTAATTATCAGAATACTATAAAACGCATAAGAATATTTATGCAATGTGTCATATATATGAAATCTATGTAGTTCATTATAAACATTTCATCTTCCAAATCTTACAATATGCACAGCATAAAAATCCTTTAAACATTAAATATAGTTAAGCTAATGAAATAAAATAACAATTTTAGAGTGGACAACAATTTTGTTTACTTGCGACAACAGAAATACATAAGTGTTTTTAAAATATTAGAATTAACTTAATTGAAAATATTTGGTGATTTAGCATAAGACTTTTTTTTAACTTTTTTTTTAGATTTTGATTCTAACTAATTTATAACAAATTTAGCTCATAATAAAAGTGTGCCATCTGTTAACTGCAGATTGGTTACGACCATTCAACGTTCAACAAAGTTGACCTATTGCACAGGCTTTTCAGGTCCAGTCTGTAGCCCAGAACGTGCAGCGTTCCGCTTGGCCGCAGCTCCATAACTCGACATGAACACGAGCACACGAACACTCGAATAGAGTGTTATCTCTTTTATATAGCAGCAGTCCAGCAGGAGCGGAGTAACTCCCTGTGCTGGCTGCTTAGTTGGCCGCATACCACGTTGTGCGATTGCTGGCAGTCTCCTCATCCGGTTTGGGCATTATCCAGATATTGCCAATGCCGCTGTCCGAACTGAAGCGATTCGAGTCGCGATAAAGCGCGAAACTTGGCGCCTTGCGATGCAGATGATCGTTTTCACGTGAATAGCGCTCCTGCAGCTTTTGCCGCTCCTCGTTGGCGAAGTTGTTGATCATGTCACGGATGAGATCCAGCCAGAGCTGGATCTGTGCGGCATCGGCGCTGAACTCGCACTCCTGTTGCTTGCGACGCTCATAGTAGAGTGTAAAAGATTTGGTTTTGGCCGAGATGCCAATATGCTCGCAAGGATAGCGACCATGGAACACCAAATGCTTGCCCTTGATCTCCGTATAAATTATGCACTTGTCAAATATAAAGACCTTGGCACGATAGCTGCGCTTCAGCTTGTGATCCAGCACCTGAAACTCGCTAACCTTACGGAACTTGCCCTGGTAATACACATTGAACTGCAAAACAGAGAGAAGTACACGATTAGTTGACAATTTCGCCAGCCTCAACGCAAGGAGTAACCCACCTCGTTACAGTCCACAATATCATTAATGATCTCTGATTCGTTGGTGGTGACCAGCAAGGTGCGCAATCGCTTCTCCAGGCGGCAGCAGGACTCAATCAATGGCTTCATGACAATATCACGATTCTTGAAAAAGGTCTGCAAGATACAAATTAGTTAATGCACATTAAGGGCACACAACAGTCCACCTACATTAATGAACTGGGTAAGGAGCAAAGGATAACGTGCCATGCGTTGTATGGGCTGCACTAAGAAGCTATTAATGCCCAGCTTATCATCGCGCTCCAGACGTATGCTCTGTAAGTAAAGAACGTATTTGTTAGATCAGGCAACATATTATGAGCTTATTATGTGAAATAGTTTTCCGCTTTACCTACCGTAAAATAATTCTTATAGAGATCGCACAGCTTTAATGATTTCTGTTTGTTCATCGTGAAGATCACATAGCCATAGAAACAGTTTTGCTGTGAAAGGAAATTCAAACAATTAGTGACCGTTTTATGAGCTATGCGAGCGCTACTCACATCCAAGAACTCGAGAAATTCATCAAAAAGTCGTTTCAGATCGCGACGATTGCGCTGCAGCATGGGCAAAAACTCGTCGCGATGGAACTCGGCGATTTGCTCGATGTTCCCAAAGAGATCGTACTTTTTGCCACGCAGGCCCAGCGGCAAATCCTTGCGCTGAAATATATTGCCATAGTTCTCCAGGCCAGTGAACAGATTCTTCACATAGGCCTCCTCGGTATGGATGAGCTCCTCGAGTATGGGATGCACGCACTTGTCGCTCTTATCGCGCAACTCAATTTCAATCTCATCCTCTCTGGAAAAACGCAATTAATTAGTTAGTATTAGTTGTCGCTTAAGTGATTTAATGGGATGCACTTACTCCTCTTTGGGTTGATAGACTGAATGAAATTTACCAACCAGTTGATGGTTTGTTGCGCCAATGATTTCAGTCTTCCTTCTTGGAGTAGAACGATAATTTCTGTGTACGATAAGAGCAAACGGGGCGGTCAAACACGGCAATCTTATTATAGAGTTTATCACTTGACTTAAGCTGGCCCCCAGAACACTACGCAAACAACAACATCAACAACCAGGCAGAAGATAAGAAATTACGCTGCATGAATCACGGGCCAGCTGATAAGCGTCGCCCACGCCAAGGCATGAGCTGAAGGCACTCAGAGATTTGGTCTGGCCAGCGAATCGCAACAACAAAAGCAACTACTACAAAAAGATAGAAAACAAAATAGAGAGAGATAACGAATTCTCTCACCCTCTTGATATGCTTGATGGGATCTTGGTGGCCTTGAAATATATTTACACCGCCAACCGCCTGGTGCAATACCACCGACACAGCTTTCAAGCAATGCATGAAAAAGTCGATCTGAGAGATTAGGAGCCAGGAGATCATGATCAGCAATAACATTGAGACGCCGGTGACTATAAAGCCAGTCAGCTGGAAGACGTAAGACACACACACTGCAAAGCTAGCAAGTAATATCGATGCGACAATGACGGTGCTGAGTACCTACCCCTTCGACGAGGCCCTCCGGCCTCTGGATGCCAAAGGAGTCTGTTGAATTGGCCTCAGTATTATCCGGGGATAATCTATTATCCGTTTGGCTGCTACCCCCATCGCTCTCATAGCTGAGTTTCTTTTGGCCATACACTTTTATTCGACTGGTGTCTTCCAGATCTAACGAGCGCTCGATACTTGGCTGCGGAGGCTCCTTTCGCACAACTCTTTCTATGTGCCTTGGTTTCTCCTCCTCCTGCTTTGGGACATCCAAAATAGATTCCGAGCTGGTTTCTTGTGTCAGAATCTCTATTCGCAACGTTTTTTCCATTTTCATTAATGAGTGCCGCGTTGGCTCCGTATTGTTGCCTCTGGACACCATAAATGGTCGGGAACCATCGTTTACCCGCACGACTTCTATACTGACATCCTCGTCGCTTTGCCGTTGATTCTCGTCGGGCTGCTCCGGCCTTGCACCCTTCTTCGGTTTGCTGCCGCTTGGCCCATCGTTGGGTTCTGAACCCTCCATATTTTAGCTGCAGCTTATTTTGAAAAACTGGGCTCGACAGATACATTTTACAAATTTTGCTACATTTTCTAACCAAGTTTAAGTAGTTTCTGGATAAATGTTGACAGTTAATTCCAAGTCGCAACCGGTTACAAATCCGATCCCAAACGCAATTCACACTCCAAGCGCTGCCTGGTCAAGTAACATATTTGAGAGCAAACACCTGCTAATTAAATTCAGATTCAGCATGGCGATAAATACCAACGAATTTTATGGCCAAGTCGCTTAATTAGACTTCGACTTTGCAAATTACAAAAATGGAAGCGCAACTTTGACCGCCCGCTGACACAGCAAACAGTGTGCGAAGGTCGTTTATGCGTAAGCGAACGGTGCTGGAAAATCTTTCAGAAGGAAGCTAAAAAGGAAATTGAATAACAACAATGTGAAAGACAGGAATACAGCCAAAGATTGCTGGGAAATATTCTGACTGAAAATCCAATCTACAATTTTCATAAAAAATTATGTAAAAATCGAATTAAAAAATTCAACACACACTTTAAAATTGTCAGCAAATTGTATCTGGCTGATCAGAAATCAAGTTCAACAGTGTTGAAAAACGAAGCAAAGCAAATTGAATCAAACGATCTTTTGTAAATTGATAAATGAGTCGAAACTAACGAGGAAACGAATGTAAGATTAATTGCCATTCACGAGCTGTAAGGTTCCAAAGTTCAATAAGTCCCGTCATCGCCGGGCCGGCATTTCACTCACCTTGGAAAATCCTTGTCATTGCGCAGCTTAAGTGGGGGAGAGAGAGCGCCTGATGGATCCGCGCTAATTGAACGCTGCACTGCCTGTGCTTTCACATCCTCTGGATCTGGGCAGTCGCTGGGCAACACGGCGGAGCTGCTCTCGCTGAGCACGTAGTCGACAGGGGCTTGGGGATCCGTTTCAAAGTCGGATATCTGATCGACTTCATCCTCGGAGCGCACCTCGTCAATGCTGACGGGCGTGCTGGAAATGGAATTGCTGCAGGAGCTGAGCCCAGGCAGGGCAATGCGACGCGGCGGGGGTGGAGTTCGAATCTGCGCGTGATCGTCGTGCTGCGAAAAGCTGGGATGGCGACGATTCTCGAGCAGCTTCAGGCTGAGGCGCTCCTGTCGCATATAGCTGATGGACGTCTTTAGCGTCTCGAAGCGCTGCACCTTCTGCCGCACATCAAGCAGGGCCGGATCCGGCGTGGTGGGTGTCTGTGGATATGTGGGCGTGGTGGGGGGCTCCGCCGTGTCATCGCTGGCGGCGCGCATTTTGAGCACGGAGCGTCGATTGAACGCGCTCTCCGTATCCGAGTTGACCGAGTAGGAAAGCTGAAAGGAACTGGAACTGCTGCTCGCGTTGCTGTCGCGTCGTCCGCCGCACTCCGTGTCCACGGCACTACTGTGACGCTCCAGCTCCGATGGCTGGCCGCTGCGGCGACGCGAGTTGCGCTTGTTGAAGTTCCGATTGCTCAAGTTGCGCTCCCGCCGAAACGGCAGCGGGCTGAGATCTTCGTCGGCCATTAGGCTTAGTCTATGTGCGTGTAGGTGTGGACACCTGGGCGCCTGATAACGCTTATCGGCGCTACAAACTTAAGCTCTCTGCGCTCTCTGTTGTCGCTTATAAAGCGTATTTACTCTCTCTTGCGCTCTCTTCTTCGTTTTGTTTGTTTCTCTCAATTTGTTAACTTTGTTGCATTTCTTATCGCAAATTCTCACGCCTCGCGTTTCTTTGCTTTTTGCGCTTTTGAAATGCGTTTCAATTCCACACGTTCCAGCTAGAGCTTAGCATGTATTTTAATAAAATTTTTGCTGTTTTTTTTATATACACAAAAATTGTTCTATATAAAATTCTTAATCTTCGGGTTCGTTGGTATTTTCGAAACACGTATTCGTATCTCGTGCGTTGGCTGTCAACAGCTGCAAAAAATAAAACAAAAAAGAATTTCAGCAACATTTTGATTAAAGCATTTTATCGCATATAATTTTAAGCAAATACATAAGTGAAAAACACACACACACACATATGATATGATTATATACTACAAGCTATTCAGCAAAAACAATAAACAAAACTGAAAAGAATTTGCAATTAGCGAAAAGCACACAATAAAGCTCTCATCTGAGTTGTAGTTTGCCAAATAAAGAAACAATATAATTGATAATTAGTGCAAATTATCTATCAATATAAAACATTTATCGAAATTCAGGCACACGACAGCCGATATTAATCGATACAATTCATTTTTACTTACATCGATAGCTAAGAAACCTAAGCTAAGTAAAAAACACATTAAATAAACAATACATCTGGAAAACTAAACCGATAATAATCGATATTAGTCGATATCGATTATTTTGACACAAATTGATGAGGAAAGATTTTTGATGAACAAGAATAATCGATAACAAAGTGGATTATCGATAAGCAAATCGATCAAAAATAATAAGTAGCTGTTATATCATAGGCAACTGATAATCTCGAGCTAAACTCGTGGACTTTGGTTTCTACTAGTACATAGTTAACATTTAGAGTATGCGTATCTCAACAAAATGATGTATGTATACACAAGTGACTTGTAATTCCAGCTAAAGATACAGTCTCATGTATGCAGCACTCTCTTGCTGCTATAGTATTTTTAACTGTTTAACTCGGTTAGGTTGCTCGATAATCGCACAAATATTTGCAGAAAATAAGCACTAGCAAAATATAAATAAGTTTTATTTATACGGCGAATGACGTCAAGCGATCAGGGGTTCAAAGAGTGAGCGTTGTCAGATCTATATGCACATTTAAGCACACACACTCTCTAATGTAGTTAATTATGTGTGACGTTTAGACTGGGCTAACACAAAATAAAAATCAACCAATGTAGTTCAAGTTTTGAAATACAACAGGATGGAATATGATGTTAAAATGGCTAAAAATGTAATAAAAAGAATAATAAGAAATAATTGTTAAATTCATTCATTTCAATCGGAACTTAAGTGAATTGGGCCAATTGAATCAGTCTGGCTAGTAAGCATTGAATAGATTTTCATAAAACATTCTTTTTTTTTTTTAAATAGTAGTCCAAGAATTTAGAGCTTGGGCGAAAACATTCAGTCATTCGAAAAACTTAGAGGCTGAACAGCTTGGACAAAAACTTGTAGAGAATTTATTGTTTTTTTTTTTTTAATATACTGAATATAGCAAAAAATTTGCAGTTTTAAATTTGTATTTTTAAAATTGGAGTAATGAAACGCTTAAACATTTATGGCGCATTTCTGTCGCTTGCCGGTCCCGGCACCAAGGAGGACATCATCATCCAAGTGGCCAAGCAACAGAACATACGCTTTAATGATCTGCCCCAGCTGCAGAAGGAGGTCGATCGGGCACTGGAGGAAAGTCTACGTCTGGGCTTTGTAGATCGCCAGGGGCCTATGTACAAGCTGAGCACGGATACGCCAACACCAAGCATTCCGAACAATTTGCCAAGCAATAAATTGGCAACCGGCAAGATCAATAACGAGACGCCAACACGCTCGCCCATGGATAGCAAGGCCCAGGGACAGGGAGATGGCATGCGTAGTCGCTCGTTGGTCGAGGCTGGCAGCCGAGTCAAGTCGCGGACTTCCTCGTGCTCCGCGTGCAGCGCCTTGGAAAACGCAGGCAGCCCGGAGCGACGCAAGAACTCTCACTTTCTGGACAAGCACCTGCTGCGCAAGGACAAAAGCATTTGCTCCATTTGCGGCCTGAACAGCGATAAGCGCAACAACATTGAGGGGCAGGACGTCGATAAAGCCAGCTGGCCGGATCTAAATCCTATGCTATAACAGCTCTCACAGGCAAACGTAGGTTGATAAAAAAGTTAACTAAGTTTAGGTCAAATGAATGAGATTAGGTGAAGCTTCACAAAAGGATCAGGTACATAAGTTATCAGGTATCTTAGGAAAAGATAAATCGAATGCATTCTGCATTCTGTCGATATTCAACAGCTAAACCTCTTTTTTATTAATAATAGATAAAGATACAGATAAGAATATAGTATCTTTGAAGCCCCAATCTATAACAAAAGTTAGTCAAGTAAATTAAAAATTAGCCAAGCCAATTTATAGCTTTACAGATTTCGCTAATAACTATTTACAATATGCACATTTTTCATTGCAGCTCTTTCGTTTCCGGCCGTAGTTGAACAAATTATCAAGTCTTCGTCCTGCATGCGGCCGCACAATTATATTAACCATAACTGACCCATAAACCTCGTCTCGATACAGTTTATTACAGTGTTGAGCATTTATTTTGATTCATGCGAATAAACAGCTACGAACATAACTGACATTGGCTTTGATTAGCCAGCGGGGGCTGTTAGCCGTTGGTTTGTTGACCCAGTTAGATAATTGGCGCAGCAGACAGTCGGGCCTGGGCCTGGGCCTGCACCTGATGTTAGCCCAAAAAGGTCGCCTCACCTGTCGCACATATTGCGCCAAGGCTTGTACGTAGAGGGCCCTGAATTGTTATCTATCAATGCTATCGATAAGCAACTATCTTAAATACTTGACGCCATATTTGATATCACTTTCCATGAATTTGCAATTGCGTTTGGGCTCGCGTGCAATCGGTGCCTGGGCACTGTAAATGGAATTTTCGGTAAGGTAAGCCCTGTGAATGTTTTCGGTAAAAAATGTCTACCCCATTTGGTATTGTATAAAGGCGTAAGTCATCAGCTTTATTTATCGCAACTGAATGGGGATTCTCTTTGCTGTGATATATGGCTTTTCCCATACAACAAAAACGAACACTAAACAATTATATTGCAATTGTTTTATTTAACTATTAGTTAAAATTTAAAGCGCACCTCGTTGCCGTTTTTCACTGCACTGTTGTCACTTTTCACTGTAATTTTATCTAACTATTGATGTTTTGGTATTAAAATTTACTGTCGCTTAAGTCGTTCAATGTCAAGTGCGATAAGCCATTTTAGGCACAGTTGATTAAAGGCTTTGCACTTTATTTTCAAGTGATTAATAATATTTAAGGTGAACATTTTTTAATTAAAAGTGAGAGGTATTTTTAGAAGGGAGTAAAAAGTTGGCAAGTGCCGTTTACCACTTTAATGAGGTAATACAATTTTATTTAACTATTGTTAAAATTTAATATGGGCGGCGTTGCCATTTTTCATTGAAATATTGCCACTTTTCACTATTGGCTTATCCATCTATTTATCTGATTATTTTATTTTATTTTCAAGTGATTTATAATTTTTAAGTTAAACATAATGTTTTATGAAAAGTAAGAGGTATTCATGGGATGTATTATAACAAGGTTGGAATGTTGCCCTTTAACATGTGAATGTTAAAATACTTGTATATACTTATCAGCCATCTTTAAGCCAACCAATACCTTAACTTAGTATGAAACTGGATTAAGCTAAATTATGATTAACTATCTCGAGTAACTTTCAATAAAACTGAACAAGATAGTACAGTTTTATTGTGTGATAAGCGTTGACTCATTTCCTTTACAACAAAAATATATACATATAGTGTATTAACAACTGTCTGCACTTAAATCGAGAAGTTACAAAAAACGGAACAGGGTTGCAGGTAAGCTTAAAAATAATTGTTTTGTAGATCCATTAGGTTACCTGATCTGCTATTTTTAGATTGATAGAGTCAATTACAGTTCGAATCTTGACTCCAAACTGGTTAGGTCTAACCCGACGTGCTGAGCATTAGATGTTTAACGGCTCAATGCAACAAGTTCAAACATTTTCACTGTATTGTTGGGGGGCAGAGACATTGCTATCTCTGCCTCTAATCTTTCGATAGACTTCTCAAAGCCGTTTCTAGGAATTTCCGGCACCAAAATAGACTGCAATAATCATAAAAGCAAATGACAGATATGATTGTGTTGTGCTGATAAAAATGGGAGTTTTTTTAGTTCAGATTTTCATGACTTGGCAAGTATTAACGTGTAATTTAATTAATTAGCTTACTGAGAGAGGAAGAAAAGAGTGTCAAATGTTACAAAACTGACACAAAACCATAAACAATAGAATTTGTCAGCTTTTAATGATATTTACTGATTATTTAAAAATAAAATGTTTTCATTTATTACATAACGTCAAGTTAACGAAACATAAATATAAAATGATATTGTGTTTATAGTATTCCTTGAATCGACAATCGATTAACTTATAACAGGTAACTTATAAAGTTCCGCTCAAACCAGCTTCGTGCAAATGTTTCCCATCATTCACATTGAAGTTAACTCGGAGTGGTGTGTTTTTTCACATTTTGTTATTTAATTTAATAGTATATATATATTTTTTTTTATATATTCTGTGTGTATCGTTCATTTTGCCGATAAGTCAAATAACGAGCTGGTGAAAAAAAGTGACACTAACCGCAACTGATACGAGTTATTGTTGGTAGATCTACAAAAAATTTGTTAAGTACGATACTAAAATGTGAATAAATAAATGTAGCTATAAAACGTACACAAAAAAAAACCCACTCATATATTCAAACACAGAGAGGAAGTGAGAGCGAGAGAGAAAGAGAAAGAGCGAGAGACATAACAACAGCTGTCTAACAAAAACGCTATGTAAAAGCGATTTGCTTTATTATTTTTCATAATTTTTAAGTTTTTTTTTTGTATGTATATAAATTGTTTGTTTCTTTTTTATAATTTGTGGGCACGTGTTAATTAAACAATTAGCTGGAATATTGTAAGCGTGCATAGTCCATTTTTGTTTTTGTTGTTTGGGTTTTTTGTTCATTTGTTTTATATGCTTAGGTAAATAAGTAAATACGTGTATTTCATGTTCTCTTGCCAATTTTGGCACTTACATTGTTTAAGCACAGGCGCAAAAGGTTAAAACCAAACTAAGGTCAGCCTCAATCGCAATTGAGTTGAAAAATCAGTTTAAAGTTCTACAAGTTCATGAGCCGCAGCGCACGCGGCGTATACGCAATTCGTACACACAACAAACGCATACAAACGCACACGCAATTACATGCACGGGCATACACACACGCGCTGACGCAAGTGTCGTTGCGGCTGTTGTTGTTGCCGTTAACTGTTCTGCGCAGACACGACAGAGACAGACGATGACGAACTCGACACGAAACGATAAAACCAAAAGAAACGAAACGAACGACCGAGCGACGTACAATGAAACGTTCAGCTCACCTGCGCATTTGAATTGGCACTGATCCGGAATTCGCGCATTGCAGCAAGTGCGCAGTCGACGACTCTCAAGTGACAGTGGGCAAAATCACAAGTACAAAAAATAATTAATATAATAAATGCATATTACTTCTACAGCTGCCTTACATGAAACAGCTTCAATTAATAAATATTTTCAAATGCCTTTTAAAATAGAATTTATTGTTTTATTATTATTATTTTTTATATTTATGTATTCTTTGCTAATATCAACTGAAATATTTGTTCGCAACTGATTCGCCTTATTTGTTTAACCCAGCATCTGATTTGCACCACTGTACACTCTGCTGAATTTCCCTCTTCCTCTTTGCCATGACACTGTTGTTGTTGTCGACTGCTAACTGTTTGCTTTAGTTGTTGTCGTTGCCATTGCTGCGCCGACTCCGCTGCTTTAGTTATAACTTTTTGTTGTTTGTTGTTGTTTTACCTTTATTATTTAGATTGCACACTCTCACACAATTTAGCAGCTGTAGCAGTGTGTGTGTGTGTGTGTGTGTGTGTGCGTGTATGTGAATCTGCGTTGCTGTAGTTGTTGTTGTTGTTGTTGTTGGTGTTTGTGAGTTCGCCGCATTTTCTACAGCAAATTATTGTCATAATTCTTTTTGTTGTTGCGCTTGATTATTTCGCTTTTTATTTACATGCAGGCGGCATAAATTCTTAATTAGTCTAGGCCGACAAATACAATGACACCAAAGCATGTAGCTGAGATCTACCGGTAAAAATTGTTGTCGTTGTTGTTTGAGAAAATTCTCAAAGCAAGCAATTATTTAGTCTCAAGTCAAAGTGAAAACAAAAATTTCCAAATATTTCAGTAGCTCAACAGCTGTTAACAAAACTGTTTCTATTCAATTCCAAATAAAAAAAACATAGTTTAAAATATCTTATTTCAAGGTAAGTTTACCAAACTACATAAACCTTTTTTGATTTCTTCAGTTTGATTCAAACTTATTCGTTGACTGCGCAAAATACACGAACCTATTATCTTATCGGCCTTTTAGCAAGTTTTCTTTTATTTTTTGCGTCAGTTGGCAATTCGATCGAGAACATTGAGGCCAATTGGACATTTGGCGTGCTTTTAACTCTGTGCAGAAGTATTTTACTCATTTTTGCTTATCTTAGCACATTTTCGAACGTTTCGGTTACGGTTAGTCAACAGTGTAAGCAACTTCGATTGGGAATTCAGCAGGGGGACTCACCGGCAACTGGTGAAATTCTGTCGTTATCAATTATTGGGCCAAGTTTTTTTTTAAATAATCGCTGGAAATCTTAAAATTAGCGCCTTTTATTCGAGTTATATAGCAAGCATTTTTGAACAAGGTGCTCGAACTAGCAGTGAGCTTTCGCATGTCACAAGTGCTTATCCAAAGCTTAACAAGCAGTGCAACTCAAGCAGTGCAACGCGTTGGCAGTACAATTAGAATGCAGGCAAGCAGTAACTTTTTGAATGTTTTTAACGGCTACAACTAAACTTGAAAACTAAAATAAATAAATATTTATATAAAATTTCTTTTAAAAAAGACATATATATATGTTTAATATATAATACAGTATATTTAATTTAAATTTTACCTAGGGTTCTTTTTACGGCCTGTGCCAACCAGTTCGCTTTAGTTGGACTTTGTCTGCCTTGCACTCTAGCATAAACAAGCTTGGAAAGCGTTCAGATTTCATGGCCTGGCGCCGATAGGCTGAAACATACGACTCATAGGCGATTCACCGGCTCATGTTGGCGTTACAGAAAATTTTCCTCTGCCGCCAAATTGTTGTCAGCTAATGAATTGTAACCCTAAACAAATCACGTTTTCTAGCGGAAATGCCTAAATCGAAAAATCCTGCAGTCAACCACAAATTGGTTCAATATGTGATGCCATTAAGATAAGAAAGATTTGAAAAAGAAAGACGTAGATTCGTTGCAATTGCTTCTTAATAGGCCGAATGGGCACACAGTACATAGCGGAATTTTGACTTCCGCTTATCACAGAAACTTACCTCTAAGCAGCATCTATTCTTCTAAATATTGTCCCGTTTTGGTTGTTTAAACTATCATTAAAATGTCAAATAAGCTACTCTAACTAAAAGCCGTGATAAATATTGGTTTAGTTAAGGCTACCAGCCATAATTGGTTCATAATTGAAAGCTCGCCAAATATTTAGTTGGAGACACAGATCAAACAAATACCAACACAATTTACTCTCAGAAGCAACCATAAAGAGAATGAGTGTGCGAACAAGACATTTTTAAGAGCGTCACAACTATTCCTTAAAGCAATAAATTACCCAAGAGCTGTATGCAAATGCCCAATTAGGTAAACTGCAGACAATAAACAAGTAGAATAGAAACATTAAAATATCTACGGCATTTAATTGAATTCATCAGGCAAAAATATTGCTTTGTAAGGCATTGAGAAAAGCACATGTCACAACGCCCACACGCGCACACACTCAAAATGCAATTACTCTCACCAACACATACGTACACACAAGGCGTCATTAAACCGGCCGGCTGCCGGCTCAGTCGCTCTCTTAACAGGCTGCTGCTGCTGCTGCTAAGCGCCTTTTATTGCTCAGAGAGCGTAAGTTTAGACAACGAGTGGGGTAATATAAGAAGAAGAAAAATACTATTAATTGGTCTATAGCAACTGCATTTGTATCTTGTAGCAGCATTTTTTAATAAGATAATTATTCATTTTCATTTGAAATGGCATATTTAAATGTTAGTTAAGGAAAAACGCCGCGGCAACAACACGCAAACATTCTGAGAGAGCGCTGCCCAAAACCCACAACGATCGAAACTCTCGGCGTCGCCACAGTGAAAAGTTCTCTGTGCGCACACCGTCGCCGCTTTCGCTACTTTTTCGCTGCTCAGAGCAGTTCCATGTGGGAGTGGCGCCGCCCATTTTGTCAATTGGAACGTATAAAAGCCGTCGCCCAACTTCTCCAACAATAGTCGGCGTTCATTGCTGTTGCTTAGCTGCTGCGATCGGTTCAGGTTCAACTGTTTCTCCTGTTTGCTGTGTGACCAGCCGTGCTAGAAAAGCCAAACTCCAAAACAAAGTTCTCAATTGGAAAGCGCAGCTGGAGCTGAATTTGTTTGGAAAAGTTCGTTGAGGTAAGGCACAGCCAAAAGGACAAATATGAAATTGAAAGCAAATACTAAAGTAAATACACTAAAGTGATGTAATTAAGTAAATTGCTAAACTGTTCTCCTTTGCCAATTTGTAAATCAATTTCCGAAACGCCGAACGCTGTACGTCTCGTTGTCGGTCGATTTGACTTCGGTTTTTGGCGATCGTTGTCTAAAATTGGAACTGTCTTTTGGTTGATTTGTGGGTCAATCGATTCGAAATCGAAAAGTGTTGAACTCGTTTCGGGCATTCGCAGTTCTTGCCTACGACTCGAATCATTCGCACGCAAATATGTGAAGGACAACGACGTGTGTGGACCAAAACCCAATCCAACGAGACATCGACCAAGAAAGTCGAAACGACACAAACCTTCTACGAATTGCATTACAAATAGTAAACTCGAAATCCAAATTATTTCAATCGTGGAGTGCGCGTACGAATTTCGAAGCGTGAGGTACTTACATTTTACGTACGGAACAATTTTACAATTTACCTCGCGAAATTTCAATTCAATTTCAAAAAAGACAACAACCAGCTTATATAACCCAGACAATACCTAGCGTAAAACAAATATACATATGAGCCCAAAGTTGATAACAGAAAATATAAATATCAATACTCAGTCCGTTAGTTGAATCTGAGTGCGGCAATTGTAAATGTCATTGATAAGAAATCGCCTGGAGACTTGATCACTGAGTTCATCTGTAATCAGTGCGAGTCGCTTTCCAGTTGCTCTGCCCATATTCTAAGATTCTCTGACCATCTGGCGCTGGATTCATCATAGCACGTGCTACTTCTGACGCACTTTCAGGGGCCTGACCTGATTAAATATTTGGGAAAATCGACAAAATCAGATTCCAAGTGAATTTTACAAGTGTAATTAGACAGGGGCTAGCCCAGATGGAGCTTACGGAAAAACAAAGCATTTTTACTGGAGCTTTATGATTGGGAAGAATATATGTTTGAAAACTGATCAAATTACGAAAATAATCTGAAATACTTTTGTGATAATATCGTAGTGTGAGATGAAGGGAAATATTATGATATTATTAACTAGAAAGAAGGGAAAACAAGGTGCTCTATATTATGTGCTTAGACTATTCTCAAATTGCTTTTTTAGTTTTAGCCTAACCTTTTTTGAACTGGCCTCCAACATTTTCTTAAGACATTCGTATAAATCGCACGAAACGAAAACTGAAAATCGATTTCACACAATTAAGTGCTGCGAGACAAGGCAATTGGGCAAAAGGCAACATCAAAGCATTAAAATAGCACAGCATAGCGAGCAAATTTAAAATCGAAATTTAATTAAATCATGACACTAAAATACCCATGGCCCTAGCGCCTCACGCCCGCTCCTGCGATGGATCATGCCAAATTAAATTCAATTGAAGCACCCACAGCAACAGAGATAGAAGCCAAGAGAGAGAGAGAGAGAGAGAGAGTCAGTGTGAGATAGTGAGAGAAGTTAAATCGATTGTTGCAATTTGAGACACGAAATTGCAGCGGAAGAGGCGACCAATCGGGTATTACTTAAGGGGCTGCAGAGGGGAGGACTACCAACTGTCGACTGTCCGTCCGTCCGTCTGTCCGTCTGACTGACTGACTGGCTGACTGGCTGAATGGGCGCCCTGCCAAATGCGGGACAGAAGACAGCGACACTTACAGCTCGCTCGCCTTTCCACAAGGCACACGAAGGGCTCCGCGTCACTTCCTGTCGAGCAGTTAGTATTATCATAAAAAATAAAGAAGAACAAAAAAATAAAAACAATGGAAATAGGGGCGTAGCAAGAGCGCCAACGCCCCAGCGGCAGTTCTTGACTCGAAACAGAACCAACTGATCTATGGACAAACGCGTCGTTCAATGCGAATTGTGTGGGTGCGGATCTGCGTCTGCGTCTGTCTTTGAGTCGAGTCGAGTCACTGGCTGTTGCCATTTCCCCAGCTCCACCTCCTGCTGCAGTTCTCAAGTCGTGTCTCTGGCATAATCGATGCATTTCCGCTTTGCGACAGACCCAGTCCATACAAAATACTTAAATACCGTTTATATATGTATATAAAATATATTTATATAAACAATGTATATACATATATGTATATGGCAATTATATGGTAATTATTTTGTCAGCTTTTGATTTATCGCAATTGCCCGCTGGAATGTTGACAATTTGAAGCTAACGAAAGCCCCAAATATGGTCAAATCGAGTCTATGCGAAAGAAATGGTGACCTTCGTTGTGTAATGGAATGGGAATGGGAAGTTATATATACCTTTACATAGAGAGACAGTTTTATTCTAATAAAATCAAAGAATACATACAATTGCATACAACCAAAGATTGAATAGATTATTATGATGATCCTTTCTTTACAAATCAAACTAGAAATACGTAGAATGTAAACTAAATCATCTAGAAACGAGTTAGCTAAAGCGATTGAATCTTGAATAGAATTAGATTATTTACCGATTAGATACGCACACTATAATGTATTAAGTAAAATAACACCTTATGATTTATCTAAAGTTTCATCAATTTTTTACTTTTGACAACGAGAGATTGAACCCTAAAGATCTTTTAATTTAAGCAAGAGACTATTTACATGTCTTAAAATTGTGAAAAGTATATTCACATATTGATTTATTAGTGAAATTAATTAAATTAACTAAATTATAATATATACCCTTGCATATATAGCTTAGATAGGAAGATTTAAAATACACTTAGACACAAGCCTTAAGAAACTTGTTAATGAATAGTTTACTCTGTGAGCTGTAAAGCGAAGCTCTACCTTTAATTTCTAAAAATATCAATTATTATGTAGCAACTGTTAATGAAAATTAAAAAATAAAACAATTGCTTGTCACTTTTACGTTGTTATCGGCCCGCTGAAATAATAGACAGCTACACATTTAGAATCTATTTGCCACCCAGTTTTTCCATTACAATTCTGCGTTATCGTTCATATTGTGAAATAGAAGCCATATATGTATGTATATATGGCGGGCAATAACCACAAACCGAATTCGATTTTTATAAATAGTCCGATATACTGTTGCATTACCATGTTTTTGCATAGTAGAAACTGCTCGAAACCTTAGAGGAAATACCTATGTTATATGTGCTCATTAAGAACCTGTGCTTATCTTATCCTGAAGAGCTGTTAACTAGTTCAAAGCACACATAAAATATGTGTACTAAACATAATCTTAGCGCCATAAAGCGCACAATAGTCCTATGCCATATTCCACATATACTATATGTATCTGGCACAATCCAATTTCATAAAACAATTGTTATCTATAAGATTCTCCACGCTTAACCAAACAAACAGACCACTGATTATGGCCAGGGCCTTGTTTACGCCATATATGTTTGTGTATGGGAGATGTGCTGTGTGGGCATAATGGAAATAAAATGAATAGAAATAAAAAACGTGATAAGCAACTCAAGAGCCGCTTATGAAATGCGATACTCACAGATATTTGATTCTTATTGATTTCACGCAGGGAATTGCATTGAGTAAGCGCAGAAATGGCCGACGAAGCACAAGCACCACCAGCTGAGGGCGCACCACCAGCAGAGGGCGAGGCTGCACCACCAGCCGATGGCGAGGCAGCACCAGCAGCCGATGGCGAGGCCGCACCACCTGCCGAGCCCGCCGAGCCGATCAAGCACAGCTACACCCTCTTCTATTTCAACGTGAAGGCCCTCGCCGAGCCGTTGCGCTATCTGTTCGCCTATGGCGGCATCGAGTACGAGGATGTGCGCGTCACCCGCGACGAATGGCCAGCCCTAAAGCCGAGTAAGTGCATCCACTCGATGACCAAAACCGTTTAGACACTCATGCCCGCTAATCAATTTGCTTAGCCATGCCCATGGGCCAGATGCCGGTGCTGGAGGTGGATGGCAAACGTGTGCATCAGAGCATCTCGATGGCTCGTTTCCTGGCCAAGACAGTCGGCTTGTGCGGCGCCACGCCCTGGGAGGATCTTCAGATCGACATTGTGGTTGATACCATCAATGACTTCCGTCTAAGTAGCGAACAATGTGTGCTTCAGTTTCATGTTCAGTGTCCTTGATTAACTCTGGAATTTTTAATGTATAGAAATTGCAGTCGTCTCGTACGAGCCCGAGGATGAGATCAAGGAGAAGAAGCTTGTCACCCTAAATGCCGAGGTCATTCCATTCTATCTGGAGAAACTGGAGCAGACCGTCAAGGACAACGACGGTCATCTGGCTTTGAGCAAGGTGTGCAACACCAAAGATCCAAAAATCCCTAACCGATCCTCACTAACTAATCCTATTTCTGTATAATCCAGCTCACCTGGGCCGATGTTTACTTTGCCGGTATCACCGACTACATGAACTACATGGTGAAGCGCGATCTGCTGGAGCCATATCCTGCCCTGCGCGGCGTCGTCGAGGCCATCAATGCCCTGGAGCCCATCAAGGCTTGGATCGAGAAGCGTCCCGTTACCGAGGTCTAAAGTGAAGAGCTAACAAATTAAAAAAAAACAAACAGCAGCAAGCCGGCAGAAGTGCGGAGGGAGAATCATTGCACAACAATAACAACAACAACTACTACTACTAACAACAACAACACCCAACACAACACCATTATTATTATTTTTATTTTTTTTTGGCATTATTTTTCAAACATTTTATACCCTTTTAGTTGGGGCTTCTAATTTTGGTAGACCTGCGAGAGGGGGATTTAACCGCACGGGGTTACGTTCGGAATTTCAAATATTTATGCGTAGACTATTAGCAGATGACACTAAATAATTCTTTTGGCATAATTCTCTTTGCATTGCCTCAAAAATGGATCTATTTTCTAGCTTTAAGTAACACTTAAAGTTCGTGACTATAAAAGAAAAACCTGAGAAAAAAATATTTTATTGCACAGTTATAATATTGCTCTACTTTTAGAAAATACTCCTAGTACATATGTATATGCTAAACGCTTACTATATAAACTCTATGTATCGATATGTATGTAATCTACGCATATATAGCTGTATACATATATATCTATATGTTCCACATCCTATAAGATTAATATTCTACTATCTTTAGTTCAATGCGAAGAGTTTTAAATATTTAAACATCACAACACAAACAACAAAAACATGAACGCGGCGGCAACAACAACAGCAGCGACATCGACGCAAATATTTTATGGTTTTATTATTTTTCCTTTTTATGATTTCGGCACACATTCGTCCAGCCTCAAGAATTTTCTACGTCCAACCATTTAAACAGAAATCTATCAAAAAAGACTCACAGACAAAACCTCAAAATTTAAATATTGGATATGGTTGAACTGAAAACAAATAAATTCTTAACTCCACACAGACAACAACTGCCAACATATAACTATTTTTTTTTTATTTTTCTTTATTTTATTATTTGCATTAATTATCCACGTCAAACATTGTATTTGTATTTTTAAATATTTGCACACACAAACACGTTTTGAATAAACTACACACAAAATAAGAATTGAGCATACTTTTCGAAAGCACGAAAATTGGTTTTATTTTGAGGAAGGAATTAAGAATTTAAAAACAAACAATAAATAAATTGGCAATTGGAAAAACTTCGAACCAAAGAATAAACTTTTAGTTGGACTTTTACTAAAGGAAGCTTTTCTTCGAAGTGCACCCAGAAAAACCTAGAGAATAGTAACGACATTTGATGAAGCAAAGAAACGTACAGTACAACATTTAGAATTATAAACATTTTCCCTAATCTCTCTAAAAGGATTTTTGATAAGACAGTAAAGGAAATTCAAATAGCAATCGGATGTTTATTGCGCCCTTAATTGCACCATTTACGAAATATAAAAATAATAGCAGAAATCGAATCGAAATCTACATTTACAACTTTCTTGTACTTACCCATTATCATTTGCAGCCGTGAGGATGATTAACGAGATGATCAGGATGACTTATGAACGTAGTCGAGTGCGTTTAAAATGCATAACAAGTTCTTAACTATATTTGTCCATACATAAGTAAATGCACATTTGGTCGGGTCCATACAACTGATAGTTTATCTCGGCACGTGACAGATCTCATTTGGTATGCTTCCATTTGGGCGCACGCTTCTCAACGAAGCTGCTCATGCCCTCCTTGCAGTCTTCTAATTGCAGATTTTCATTCATTTTAGCCTTGGCCTTAATGTAGGCTTCCTCGAGCGGCATATTGAGCTGTTGATAGTAGAATTCCTTGCCGAGGGCGATAACTGCGCGACTTTTTTCTCTGATGGCACTGACAATTTCCTCAATTGTTTTCTCCAGCTCGTTTTCCGGTACCACTTTGGTCACCAAACCAGCCACGTATGCCTCCTGGCTGCTAAGAGGCAGGCCAGTCATTAGCATATATGCCGACTTGGGGCGCGACATGACGCGTCCAACGGCCACACCGGGCGTGTTGCAGAATACACCAACGCCTGCGCTGTAAGGTAGAATGTAAATGAGCGAATTCAAGTGAAGATCAACTATCTACCCGGGCGTGGAGAACATGCTCTTGTCCGAGGCCACAATAATGTCACAGGAAGCCGCCAGCTGACAGCCAGCCGCAGCCGCATAGCCATTAACCTTGGCTATCACCGGCACAGGCAACGTTTTTATGTCCAGCACAATGTCGGTCAACTTTTGGAAAACGGAGTCCCGAAATTGAATATCGTTGGGCTGCAGCTCCTTTAAATTGTGGCCCGCAGACCAAACTTTGCCCTCGGCCGTCAGAACAACGCATCTCAGCTCCACATTGTCCCGATCCGCGATGAGTGCCTCGTGCAGGGCGCACATCATGTCCATCGATAGGGAATTCCGTGTACGCGGATGGCATAATGTGATTTCACGCACGCCTTGGATATTTTTTACCTGCATATTAACAATTAATACGTCATTTGTTTATGAATTTCTGCTCACCTTTACGAACTCCTCGGCTTTTATATTACTTGCGAAACGAATAGGCACTAAGCGCCCGCACTAGTTAAAAAAAGACGATTAAACAAATATAATAATTATTATTTTATATTAACTACCAATTTAAGTGCATTTGGCAGATTGCGAAGCATATTTATTAAACTGTAAAATGATCTGAATGCTTAAAGTAAAAGGATCGCTAGATATGTGACTATCGATATTTATTTGCTATTTGCTGTTAATTTGCAACAGCTGTGTACGATCACACACAAGGCACACGCAATTTTGCCTGAGCAGCGTACTCGTCTTTATCATCGATGTACAACATTGCCAGGCACAAAACAGCTATCGATATATCGTTTGCTATCGGTGCCAGCGCAACAGCTGAGCTGAGCGCTCATTTGTTTAGTAACATTTCACACGGCAAAACAAACAGGTGCCATAAGCTCATTTAATTTGTATTTAATAATTTAGCATTTAATCAAAGCACAAACATTTTGATTGGTCAGCACAACTGGTGAGTGAACTGTCGTAACCCCAAAGTGCAATTCCGTATTTACAACTCCGTCTTTGTTTGCTGTCAGGTGTGCAGTAAGTAACAACAAAGCGTTTGTTCTCGATTTAAACTCTGGTTTTTAAGGCCTCGCAATAAATCGTTTAAATATGGAATGCGCCCGATACGCTTATCAGTTAACAGACCGTTTTGTATGCGATTATCAGGCAACTAGCGCCCCACATAATTTCAGTTATTAACGTGCGGCCTGCAAGTGCGGCGGTGTTCAGAGCACGCCTCGAGTATATATACATATATAATTTATCAACTGTCATTTTAGTTGTGCTTCGATTGGCGGCAAAATGCGTCCATTTTCTGGCAGCGATTGCGTGAAGCCCGTCAGCGGCTGCATCAACCGCGCCTTTGGCAACAAGGAGCCCTGGCAGGTGGCCGCAATTACAGCGACAACCGTTTTGGGAGGCGTTTGGATCTGGACGGAGCTCAGCAAGGATGAAAGTAAGTTCCACAATCGTCTATTTTCCCATAGTCATTTGTCAAACACTTTAATCCCTCAAATAATCTTATCATGTGCGTGTACTCAATGAGAAAAAACATGCATACATATATAGAAAATAAGCCCTATGTACTTTAAACTTTTGCGACCCATCCCTTGCGAACCTTATAGCTTAATGTATTTAATAGATTATGCATAGATTATACTTGTCTAACGTAATAGTTCAGTGCAAATCTACATCGACTTGTGTTTTGCCATGTGAAACGGAAAGTTATATACCAATATACATATTTCAGGAGCCATAGTTCATACGAGATCAGATAGTGGCGCGTATTATATGTACTTATTGAATTTAAAAAACAAATTTCTGTGTGTTATGAGCGTGTTTTAATTCTATATTTAATTTTCATATGTTATCTAACATATCATTTCATAATTGTTATTTCTTGCGCAGTCAGATATTAAAAGTCTAGGCCTTTTATCGGTCCCATTTAGGTGGCACCATTATATAAAAAGAGCTTACTAATTGTGACTAATTATTGGCTTGCAGAGGGCAGCAAATGTGTAACATATTGGATGTGACATAAGTTTATATGCTCTGTCATCATCAATTAATTTATCCTATCCTAGAATCACAAAACACTTACTTTACTTTTTCTTAATAAAAAAATTCTTTGCCTCTTAAGATTTTCGCTTTTCTTTATCATTTACATGTTAAATGTTAAATATAAATCGACAATAATATTTATGTACTCGCTATTTCGTAATTCGAGCAGTTAATCTTATTGCTTCCGTTAAGTTTGTGATCGATTGTTAAGCAGTTGCCTGGCTACCGGTTCTTGCGTCTAACAAAGTATTCATAATTGTTGATAAGCAGGCATTTATCAGTCAGCTGATAAACATTGCAAATTAAGCCCCCAAAAAGTACCTGAGATTATCAATAGCGTTTAAAATAGCAGTACTTTTCTTGCAGGTCTCTATGTGCGGGGCAAGCGTCAGTTCTTTAAGTTGGCCAAGAAGCTGCCGGCTGTTCGCCGCCAAGTGGAGAAAGAGCTGAGCAAGGCCAAGAACGACTTTGAGTCGGAAATCCAGAAGAGCAACCAGCATTTGGAGTACTCGGTGCGTCTGCCCGAGAAGGGCCTAACTAAGGAGCAGATACTTGGGCTCGTGGATGATCATCTCAAGACTGGTCACTACAGCTGGCGCGATGGTCGTGTTTCGGGCGCTGTCTACGGCTACAATCCGGAGCTGGTGGAGCTGGTTACAGAGGTTTATGGCAAGGCTTCCTACACGAATCCTCTTCATGCCGATCTCTTCCCTGGCGTGTGTAAAATGGAAGCCGAAGTGGTGCGCATGGCCTGCACGCTATTCCATGGCAACGCCGACAGTTGCGGCACAATGACAACCGGTGGCACGGAGTCCATTTGCATGGCCATGAAGGCCTATCGGGACTATGCACGCGAGGAGAAGGGCATCACGAGGCCAAACATTGTGGTACCGCGCACAGCGCACGCAGCCTTTGACAAGGGCGGCCAGTACTTTAATATACACGTGCGCTACGTGGACGTCGATCCGGAAACCTACGAGGTGGACATCAAGAAATTCAAGCGAGCCATCAATAGGAATACAATTCTGGTAAGTGAGCATCCCAACTCATGTGAACTATGCTCTAAAACTTATTTCGTGTTCAGCTGGTTGGATCTGCGCCCAATTTTCCGTATGGCACCGTTGATGATATCGAAGCTATTGCTGAGCTGGGCGTCAAGTATAATATTCCCGTGCATGTGGATGCTTGCCTGGGCAGCTTTGTGGTTGCGCTGGTGCGTCATGCTGGCTATCAGCTGCGCCCCTTCGACTTTGCTGTGAAGGGCGTGACCAGCATCTCGGCCGATACGCATAAATACGGCTTTGCACCGAAGGGCTCGTCGGTCATAATGTACTCGCAGAAGAAGTTTAAGGATCATCAGTTCACGGTCACAACCGACTGGCCTGGCGGCGTTTACGGCTCACCCACAGTGAATGGCTCCCGTGCTGGTGGCATCATTGCCGCCTGCTGGGCTACAATGATGAATTTCGGCTATGAGGGCTATCTGGAGGCGACAAAACGCATTGTAGACACAGCGCGTTACATTGAGCGAGGGTAAATACTACAAATATTTCATGTGACCCTTTTTTAAACTATCCGGTTTATTATAGCGTGCGTCAGATCGATGGCATCTTCGTATTTGGCAAGCCAGCCACCTCTGTTATTGCCATGGGCTCGAATGTGTTTGACATTTTCCGGCTCTCGGATGCGATGTGCAAACTGGGCTGGAATCTTAACCCACTGCAGTTCCCCTCCGGGTAAGTATTGTCATTTCTAATAATATTATAAATGTATCTACCTTTATTTTACTCTCTTGCAGCATTCACATCTGCATCACGGACATGCACACCCAGCCGGGTGTGGCAGATAAGTTTTTGGCTGATTTGCGTACCTGCACAGCGGAGATTATGAAGGATCCTGGTCAGCCAGTGGTTGGTAAAATGGCTCTGTATGGCATGGCCCAGAGCATACCCGATCGTTCGGTGATTGGCGAGGTCACACGTCTGTTTCTACACTCCATGTACTATACGCCTGAAAAGTGAAATGTGCTTTGCGATGTCAGCTGAATCCAGCTACCTTTCACAGCACTCACATGTTTCTAGTGCAATATTCCATACCACCAAACTTGATACTTGTTGTTAATGTTCCCACTCGAAGTATCCATTTAGCATTAATTCCAATGCATCTATATCTTATTGTAAACTAGGGTAAAAAGTGTTTGTTAATGAAATTTATTGAGATCAATGTCTTTGTATGAGGAGCTAACATATGTCAACTGTGCAGTGCTTATTTTTTATACTTATTAAATTTTTTCTATGTAATCGCTTTACAACCTGTGGTTTAAATCAAATAATTTCAACTGTTTAGCAGATATATTCGCAACAGCTGCTAGACGCTGTTATTATATTTCTAAATATAAATCTTAGGAACAGATTTTAAGAGAAATATAATTTTACTTGTTCAAAAAATATTTATTCCTGGTAAATATTTAACGACCCATTTTTTTGTGTGCCTTCAAATTTTTTATCATTTTGGAGCGTTCAAAAACTGAGTTCTTGTGTAAAAAATTTTGTATGTGTAAACTAACCTCACATATTAGTTGTTCTATATAAAAACGTAATAAATCTTGTTAATCCTGGAATATGTTTATTAGGGAGAATGAGATAGTTTTTTAATGCTAATCGGATATCGAACAACTGTTCATGTTGCTCTTAAAATAACATTACCAATTTCAAAACATTAATTCCATTATCTTCGTGTCATTATATTTGATAGGTATCTCCCAAAATAACCTATTAAATATAAAGGAATAATATTAGCAAGAATGTTTTATACAATTGAAATGCTTCCGTTTTTATTTTTTCAAGTTATTTATTTTACAGACAAAATCTAATTTAATTTTAAGGCGTTTTTCTAAACACCTTTTAATTAAAAGAAAAGTTTTCTAACAAATGTTTTGTTTACATTATGCCAACAATTAACCATAATTAATGTCTGCTGTGTGGGTGATCCGATCCGGTCTGATCTTTGACTAGATTTTTCTAACATTCGCCACGCGTCGGCGTTGTAATTAAGTTGTTTTGTTGCTGCTGCTGCAGACTTGACACGCCCATTTCCTGTCCTCGGGTAATTTATGTAAGTTTCTCAGTTGATTTAAATATATTTCAGCGGCGGAAGCATTTATATTTCGATGGCTGTGACAAAGGGAGCACGCGTCAGGTGTCAAAGCCCGCACTCAACGTGTTGGCGTTTGGATTTGGGCGGGCAGCAACAAGTGTTCGGTAGTCCAAGTGCCACAGCAGACCCAGCGGAGGCATCTACAAGAAACAAAGCAACAAAAACAACAACAATAATGTTATAGTTTCACACAGCTGTGCAACAAATGAAACTTGTCACATATTAACATGCGTCAGTCAAATTCATTCACACCCACACTCAAAACCGGCTGCGATTCTCCAAACTTCAAGCAAGAGATTCCCAATATAGTTGACCACAAAATGTAAAAAAAAGAATTCTGCTGAGCCAGCTAAAACAAAACCGGTGTTGCCAAAAAGTAAAAAAAAATACGTTTCTGTATAAACATTTTTATAAGCACACGAAAAGTGCAGCGGCAGCATTGGCACAGTGGGTCAAAACGCGTGTATCATGGCCAAAATATTTCTGCCACATGCATTTAAGATCAAGGCTGCAACGCGCAATTTTAAGTTTATCTTGAACATACATCGAACTTAAAATCGAATTAGATTACGTTGAGGCGAACCAGAACCTAAAACGATTCATATTACCAAAAAAAACAGGTTCAAAAGATGGCCCTTGGACACATTTTGCCCAGTTACTAAGGGTCACCGTCTAAATTTCCTAACTGGCTACGTCGGCAGCGACTGCGCAGGCAATCAACGTTGACGTCGACGCCGACGCCAACGCCGACGCCGACGCACAGGTTGGAGCGGCTCATGCGCTCGCTCGTGGCGGCGGGGCTTCGTCTCCGGCTGCCTCTCCATTCGATACGCGTCCGTTGCGAGCGCCAGTCGCAGTCGTCGCGAGTGTTAAGCAGCTTCATTGAAAATCGTTTTTCGAAAACCTGATTTCAAATTAACAAAGAAAAAACAATAACAAAACAACAAAATTTATGAAATATATTTAAATGCAAATTAATTAAGCGCTCCGTATCAAATTGTATAATCAGCTGCAAAAAGCGATAAAAATAAAAATAAAAAAATACATTAGCTTTTGCTTTTGCAGCAGTTTTTTTTTTAATGCCTTTGTGGCGCTCTCTATAACACCTAGAGTTCTGATAAAAAAACAACGAAAGTGGTTTCTTGCATATGAACGTGTGTGTGCGGGGGTGTGGTTGTATGTGTGTGTGTGTCTCTAGTGCTGTGTTATTAAGTGCACTACTCCATAGAAATAATTAAAGTAATGCACTCGAGTATTTCGAGCATCAATAAAAAAAGAGTGTCAACTGATCCGCAAATGCAATAAAGGAATACTTCATGACACCTTAACGACATTTCAAGGTAAGCCACCAGCTGGATATAATATATAGCACAGTCTGAACTCAAGCTCCCTTTCAAATGGTTTTCTTGGCGAATTTATAATCAGCCTTTGGCGATACCCGCTCGAACGTACCATATAATGGACAATTATAGAATGATCTAAGGCGATAAATTGCATGCATGAATTGGCCATAGAGCAGGCGATAAGGCAACACCTTTGGCAAATAGCTGACGAAAAACAAATAAAAAAAATATAGTTAAAACTACGTAAACAAACAAAAGAAAATTGCCTTACGAACCTATTGACAGACTGGCTTATAAGTTGAGCTAATTTGCAAACAAATATGTCCCTCTGAATACGCCATTTAATTGCTGTAAGATATGTATTATAAGTAATTATTTATTTAGTTCTGCTCACAAGACTTTTTGGCAAAAATAAAAATATAATAAATGCGGCTGAATAGTTTTCAAAACCAAAATACTTATATAAAAAAATACTTATATATTATGAGCACTACATAGATTCACTCAAATTTAAATAAATATTTTCAGCTCAAATTTTTTAATTTAAAAAAAGAGAATTGTTTCTAAAAATTGATAATAATTGAAGATAATAATGATTGATGAATTTTGCATGTATTTAATACTTGAGCATATCTTGCCTCTTCAGAACCACACTCATATGTTTATAGACACAATTAATTTATTAATATTGTAATGCATTTATCAATATAAAGTTATTATTAAATTCTTACAATATTTTTGATAAGACTATTCAAGAAATTTTGGCTAATGATTATGCTGAATATTTCTATAGATACATAAGCTCTGAGTCATTTCCTACTGTTATAGATAGATATAGAAAATTAATAAATTCAATAAGAGCTCCGTTGATAAGAATTCTTTAATAAATATATTTAAATTATAAAAGAATAAATGTATATTATTAATATTCTTTTTATACCCTGAGACTAGATTTTAAACGTAGGCTCACAGAATTTCAATTAGAGCATTTTGGTAGAAGAGGTTTCAGGGTATTCCCCGGTCGGGTACTCCCCGACTAGAGCCTCTTACTTTTAATGACGAGTGGCCTTATTCTATGTACACCGGAATTCTTTTCGCATAATCGACAATATATAGTATTCGTATATTTACGTAAACCTTGAGCATATCAGGTTTCTAGCCCTGCAGCAGCTTCTTTATCTTGAGTTTCTATTTCACTGCAGTCTGGGCTTATCAGCTAGCGAAATGAAGAAGAAGCACAGTGCCTATATTTATATGCCTGTACTCAAATTGAAACCAGCTAGCAATATAAATATTTACTTGATCGTAGATTCGATACCAGACTATTTATGCCAGACTTTAGAAATTCTCAGGCCTTTACGAGAATGTTGTTTACATCACAGAGTTCCAGTTGGAGGCCGCTGAAAGATAAGAGGCCAAGTATCTTCGGCGCTTTGATTTTCCATTTTATCTCAAAGTGCGCAAAATAGATAAGATACGAATACGTAAAATATACGCATATATGCTATATATCTGCGCCTGCTCCAGTTTTCAAAAGAGAACTGCCCCAAAAAAAATGATAAAAAGTTTTCGTTTCTGTTTTGGCGTCGATTAGTTTGATTTGCGTTTACATGCAAAGGCGCCATCAACGGACCCTGCCCCATTACCTATGCATGTGCTTTGCATGAGTTTGGTCAGATAAAGTACCCAATACATAACATATGTGGCCGCTATGGCAATCTACTAGAGTCTCTTGTTTTTCGACGGCTCATTTTTTCCATGACAACCTCGCGCCGGGCATAACACGTCCAGCAAAAGTTGTTTGCCACACGACAACAACAACAGCCGGCGGGAATGTTGGGCAACTCCCCAAAGGACGTCCAGTCGGGCCAGTTGGGTGGTTCCGTTTACGCCTGCGGTTACCAGGGTGCGGCATTTAATGCCTGGCGTCATGTTACCAATTTAGCCAACTGGTTGTGTCTGGTTTCCTAAAACTTTCGCTGCTCCTTAGTGTTTAATCGATAACTTGAAAATGTTTTTTTTTTATTCTTCCTGTTCTCTTGCCGTTGGGGTTTTTCCCAGCCATTTGCCAATTGCTGATCGAGATTAAGTAAGCAAAACTCATTTGATTCTCTGAATATTCAACTGTTTTGTATGCCCGACAGCTGCTATAGATGCGGGTGGGCCTGTGATTTGTGACTGCTGTTTGTTTGACTTTGAATTGAGCTTATGTTAATTAGCCCTACGTACAACTGCGACGCAGTTAAACTGTAACAGGGTCTCGCAAGTGTGCTTAACACACATATTTCAAATGTATCTGGGCTAACGTAGCTTGTGTGCACTTGGAGATAGACAAGAGAAAACTTAACAAGCTCTATTCAAGCAATTGAAATATAATTGAATCTATAACTAAAGCACTACAATTTCTTATTAAGAGTTACTAATATTTTTGTGCCGAAGCCACTTAAATTACTTGGAATATAAGTACTAGTTCGAATTGGTTCTTACAAAGTTTTGAGCGCATAAAGTATTCATTGATCTCCGATTTAAATTTCTTCAAGATAGATCAGTCGAGAGTCCACTTAAAGCGTTGATTTCTGACATGCAAAACTTTTACAAATATTCGTTAAACAATATCACTCTTAGATGTTTCTCAAGCTTCATGATTGCAGAAAGCGCCTTTCGAAAACCAATAACAAAAAAAAAAACAAAAAAATGCAAAGCATATTCCATTTGGCAACGCAAATATCGTAGTTAGTCCGATGTGTTCCATGCATATTTGCAACGCTCCAAAAAATCCAATAAATGGCAATCACAAGAGGCAGCAAAA